TTTAAAGCGTATACTTACAAATAAAAAGTGTAGAGTCGGAAAAATGTTATATAACATCATTTATATTTTAACCACTGCAGTCAAAAAAAGAGGAAAAATAATTTTATAACTTTTTTTGGTGACTTTACGTGTAGAATTCAATTCTTTTTCGATGAAACTCCATTGTAGGCAACATGACATCAATTCTGTTTAGTTTTCAATAGAGCAATTTTATCGTCGCTAAAAATTTTTTAATATATTTAGAAGAAATTTTCGCTTCTTTTTGGATTAAATTGTAGTTAAAAACTATAAAATTCCTAATAAAGTGCTATTTAAAAGAAGCTATGAAACGTTATCTTTTAAACTTTAGAGTGTTTACTTACAAATAAAATTCTAATATGAGAGGTCAGAAATGATATAGCGATGATCAGAAGTAGAGAGAAAAGGCTAAGATATTACCAGAGAAGTTGATAATGAGAAAGACAGAAAGAGATGCTTAGATAGGAGATATAACGTAAAGATGGTCTCGATGAAAGAGAGCAAGAAGAAGATGAGATGGAACGGTGAGAGATGAGAAAAGAGCGAGATAAAGACTATGAGAAGATGTCTAATTTTAGAGATCTCTAAATACACGTCTGATCTGGTTTACTTGTGAAACGATTCTGAGTGGACCCCGCACCTTTTCGGTACGGGTTGAGGAACAGCGAGGACGTGACAAGAAAACAATACACCAAATAGCACGTTCCGCGCTAGGAAGAGGAGACAAACAAGCAATAGGAGAACAACACGCTGAGGATGACGTCATACAGGACCAATGATCTGTTTACACGATAAGTGGCGTGATCCTTTGTTTAATAGGAACAATCGATATATTTTCTTCCTGAAGATAACAGACGGCGTCTTGATCATGCTGGCCGCGAGGTGCTGTCATCTACTCTGAGTGGCGCAATTTTCGAACATGTTAGTTCCTTAAAATTCTTGCAAACATCATTTATATTTCGACTACTGCAGTCAAAAAATAAGAAAAATACATTTTATTACAACATTTTTTTGTTACTTTACGAGTAGAATTCAATTTTTTTTCGACGAAATTCTATAGTTGTCAACCTGACATCAATTCTGCTTAGTTTTTAACAGCACATTTTTACAGTCGCAGAATATTTTTAGATATATTTAAAAGAAATTTTTGCTCCTTTCTGGATTAGATTGTAGGTAAAAACTGTAATATTTCTAAATAGTGATTTTTAACAGAAGCTATAAAACGTTTTCTTTCAAGATTTAAGGCGTATACTTTTAAATACAAACTTTTAAGTCCAAAAATTTTTTGCAAACATTTTTTATATTTTGACCGTTGCAGTCAAAAAAAGCGAAAAAATCATTTTATTACAAATATTTTGGTAAACATTACGTGTAGAGTTTAATTCGTTTTTGACAAAAATTTATTGTAGTTAACCTGACATTCTATCTGTATAGTTTCTAATAGAACATTTTTCACCATTTCTGAAAAATTCTCAATATATTAAGAAGAAATTCTCGTTTTTTTCTAGATTGAATCTTAGTTTGCAACTATAAGATTTCATAAAAAGTGCTATTTAACAGAAGCTATGAAACGTTGGCTTTCAAACTTTAAAGCGTAGACTTACGAATAAAAAGTATTCGGTCTGAAAAAATTAAGCTAACATCATTTACACGTTCTCTGTTTGACCGTTTTTTGAAGATTTTCCGTTCAAGCCGCATAGGGCGTATGCGCTCAACGCTTTACATTTGTTTCTAGCGTATGCCTTTTTATTCTAGTGAGAACGGAAAGTACAGCAGGGAGAGTATACCCACTACGCGGCCTGAAACGTATTAATATTCTGAACCCTGCGGTCTAAGAAAAAGAAAAAATCATTAAAATTTAAATATTTGGGAAAACTTTACGTGTAGAATTTAATTCTTTTACGAAAAAAATCGATTGTAGTTAACCTAACATTCAATCTGTTAAGTTTCTAATTACTTATTTTTAACTATTTTTGAAAATTTTTTAATATATTTAAGAGAAATTTTCGCTTCTTTCTGGATTGAATCTTAATTTGAAACTGTGAGATTTTTATAGAAATGCTATTTATCAGAAGCTATTGAACGTTTGCTTTCAAGCTTTAAAGCGTATACTAACGAATAAAAAATATAGAGTGCCAGTAAATAGAGTTTATATCATTTATATTCCGACCACTGCAGTCCCAGAAAAAAAATATCGTTTTAATACAAATAATTAGATATACTTTACGTGTAAAATTTTATTCTTTTTTGACAAAAATCGATTGTAATTAACCTCACATCCAATTTGTTTTGATTCTAATGGCACATTTTTCACTTTCTCTAAAAATTTTTTTATATATTTATAAAAAATTGTCGCTGCTTTCTGGATTAAGTCCTGGTCGGAAACTATTAGAGTTCTAAAAAAATGCTATTTAACAAAAGCTATGAAACGTTTGCTTTTAAACTTTAGAGCGTATACTAACATATAAAAAGTATTCAGTCTGAAAAAATTGAGCTTATATCATTACCACGTTCCCTGCTAGATTGTTTTTTAAAAAGTTTTTGGTCAAGCCGCGTGGGGCGTATTCGTTTTACGATTTACATTTGTTTCTGGCGTATTCCTTTCTGTTCTTGCTCGAACGGAAAGTTTAGCGTGAAGCGCATACGCTCTACGCGGCAGGGAACGTTTTAATTTTCCGACTACTGCAATCAATCAAATAAAAAAAATTATTTATATACAAATATTTTTGTATACTTTACTTGTAGAATTTAATTCTTTTTAAAAAAAAATCGATTGTAGTGAACCTGACATTTAATATGTTTAGTTTCTAATAGCACAATTTTTACCGTCTCTAAAAATTTCTCAATAAATTTAAAAGGAATTTTCTCTTTTTCCTAGATAAAATCTTAGTTAGGAACTATAAGATTTCTGAAAAAATGCTATTTACCAGAAGCCATGAAACGTTTGCTTTTAAATTTTGAAACGTATACTTACGAATAAAAGATATTCAATCTGAAAAAATTGAGCTGATATCATTAACACGTTTCCTATCCTACCGTTTTTTAAAGACTTTCTGTACAAGCTGCGTGGAGCGTATGCGCCCTACGCTTTAAACTTGTCTCTAACGTATGCCTTAGTGTTCTAGCTTGAACGGAAAGTTCAGCGTAGAGCGTATACGCCCCACGCGGAAGGGAACGTGATAATATTCCGACTATTGCAGTCGATGGAAAAGAAAAATTATTTTAATACAAATATTTTGGTATTCTTTACGTGTAGAATTCAATTTTTTTTTGAAATTTATCAATTGTAGTTAACCTAACATTTAATCTGTTAAGTTTCTGATAGAACATTTTTTACTATCATTGAAAATTTCTAAATATATATAAGAGATAGTTCCGCTTATTTCTAGATTAAATCTTAGTTTAAAACTGTGAGATTTTTAAAAAAATGCTTTTTAATAAATGCTATAAAACGTTAGCTTTCAAACTTTGAAGCTTATACATACGAGTAAAAAGTATTTGTTCCGAAAAATTAAGCTGATATCATTAACACGATCCCTTCTAGACCGTTTTTTGAAGACTTTTTGTTCAAGCCTCTTGATGCGTATGCGCCCCACGCTTTACATTTTTTTCTGGCGTATTTTTTTTTGTTCTAGCTTGAACGGAATCTTCAGCGTGGAGTGCATACGCCCCACGCTGCAGGGAACGTTTTAATATTCTGATCACTGCAGTCCAAGAAAAAGAAAAAATCATTTTATTACAACGATTTTAGTATACATAACGTGTAGAATTCAATTCATTTTCGACAAAACTTAAATGTAGTTAACCTGACATTGAATTTGTTGAGTTTCTAATAGCACATTTTTTACAATCTTTAAAAATTTCCTAATACATTTAAAAGAAATTATCGCTTCTTTCTATATTAAATTTTAGGTTAGAACGGTGGGATTTCTAAAGAAATGCTATTTAACAGAAGCTTTGGAAAGTTTGCTCTCAAACTTTGAAGCGTATACTAACTAATAAAAAATATAGATTCCTAATAAATAGAGTTTATATCATTTATATTCCGACCACTACAGTCCAAGAAAGAGAAAATTTCGTTTTAATACAAATATTTAAGTATACTTTACGTGTGGAATTCAATTCTTTTTCGACAAAAATCGATTGTAGTTAACCGGACATCCCATCTGTTTAGTTTCTTATGGCACATTTTTCACTGCCTCTGAAAATTTTTAAAAATATTTATAGGAAATTTTTGTTATTTAAAAAAAGCATTGAATCATTTGCTTTTAAGCCTTACATCGTACACTTACGAATAAATTGTATTTAGTCTAGAAAAATATGCTGATATTAGGTATATTCTGACAACTGCAGTCCAAGAAAGAGAAAAAATAATTTTAATACAACTGTTTTGGTATACTTTTTGTGTACAATTTAATTTTTTTTTAACGAAAATTGATTGTTGTTACCCTGACATTAAATCTGCCTAGTTTCTAATAGTACATTTTCCCTGCCGTGAAAATTTCTGAATATATTAAAAAGCAATTGTCGCTGCTTTCTGAATTTAATCTTTGTGGGGAACTATCAGATTTCTACAGAAGGTCTATTTAACGAAAACTATAAATCGTTTGCTTTTAAACTTTGAGGCGTATACTTACAAATAAATTGTATAAAGTCTGAAAAAGTAAAGCTTATATCATTTAAATTTCGACCACTGCAGTCCAAGAAAGAGATAAAATCAATTTAATACAACTATTAAGGTGCACTTTACGTTTAGATTATAATTTTTTTTCGAGGAAAATCGATTGTAGTTAACTAGACATCCAATCAGTCCAGTTTCTAATAGCAAATTTATTAAAGTCGAGAAATTTTCTGAATATATATAAAAGAAATTTTTGCTACAAATATGTGTATTAAAGTTTCATGTGCAATGGCAGTTGCAATTGCAGTTTCATTTGCAGTTAAAGTTGAAGTTGCAGCTGCATGTAAAGCAGCATTAGCATTTGCAGTTAGCGTTGCAGATAAACCTTAAATTGCATGTGCAGTTTTAGTTGCAGTAGCATTTGCAATTGCATTTTTATGTGAAGTAGCATGCAAAGAGGCAGTTAAAGTTACATGTGCTGTAGTAGTAGCAGATGCCGTAACATGTGCAATGGGTGAGGCAAATGCATTTGCGTTTGTAGTTGCAAGTGCATTTGCAGTTGAAGTTGCAGTGCTTAAAGCATGTGCTGTTGCAGTTGCAGTGCCTAAAGCATGTGCATGTGTAAGTTTATGTGCTGTTGCAGAAGTAGTAGCAATCGCAGCTGCTTTTGCTCTAGAATTTTTAGTAGCTGTTGCATAGGCAGTTGCAAGTTTATATGTTGTTGCAGTAGCAGATTTATTTGCAGTATTAGTAGATTCTGCATTTGCAGATGCAGTTGCAGTTGTAGCTTTCTGGGAACCTGCTGGATGCCAGTGCATGTTTATTTGCAGTCGCAAGGTCATGGGCAGTTTCAGTTTAGTTGTAGTTGCAGTTCATTAGCATTTGCAGTAGCATGTGCAGTTACGGATTCATTTTACTTTGCATTGTGAAATAGCAGGCAGCGTAGCAGTTGCTGTAGCTATTCCATGTAAAGTTGCAGATGCAGTTGCATTTTTATTGGCAGTTTTAGTTGCCGTTGCAGTTTGCAGTAGATGATTGATGAGCAACTGTATTTGCAACTGCAGTTGCAGTTTCAAATGCAGTGGCAGTTGCATTTGCAGTTTCAATTGCTAATGCATTTTTATTGACATATGTAGATGCAGATTTCCTAAAAGTTACCGTTTCAGTAGCAGTTGCATGTTAATTTGCAGGTGCATGTGCATGTTCCGTTGCAGTTGCACTCTTAATTGCAGTTTTTTGTGGATTTACATATGCATAATTATGTGCAGTTTTAGTTTCAGCCGCTTGTGCGGGGTAAATTTTTATTTGCTCGTACACATAAAAATTAAAAAATTTCAATAAAAATTTTTATTGGCCCTTCAAGTTGCATTTGCTGTTGTAGTGTCGTGTGTAGTTGTTGTAGCAGTTGAATGTGCGGTAATAGTTTTAGTTGCATGTGCAGTTTCAGTTAAAATAACAGTTAAAATTTAAAAAGAAATTTAATAAAAAACATAAGTAGTAGTTGCATGTGCTGTTGCAAATGCAGTTGCTAGTTTATTTTCATTTAGAAATGTAGTTTCAGCTGCATTTAAAGTTACTGTAGCAGTAGAAGTTACAAGTGCATTTGCAGTTGCATAGTCATCTGTAGTTGTATTTTTTGTTAAATTTTTTGTTGCTGTAGCAGTTGTAGTTGCAGTTGCTGGTATATTTGCAAAAAAATATGCAGGTTCTGCTGCATTTTAAGTTGCAGTAACAGTTGCAGTAAAATTTACAGAGCAGTTGCGAGTGCAGTTTTATTAGCATCTGCAATTGCAATTGCTTGTGGATTAGCGTAGACATGTTTATTACCAGTTTTAGTGTCAGTTTTATTTGCGGTTGCATCTGCAGCTGCTTGTGCAGTTTTTGTTGCAGTTGCAGTAGCTTAAGCAATGCAGTTGCATGTGCAGTTGTAAATGCAGATTTATGTGCAGTGGCAGGKGCATCTGCATTAGCAGTGGCAAGTACTGTTCAATCTGTAGCTGCATATACAGTTGCAGTTGCTTTGAATGTTGCAGTTAGAGATTCAGTTGCAATGTTATGTAAAGTTGCAGTTGCAGTTTTATATGCAGTTCCATTTGCAGTTGTAGTTGCAGGTTAATTCGCAATTGCCTATGAACATGAAGTTGCAGTGGCATCTGCAGATGCATTCGCCTTTTTAGTTGCAGTTCCATTTTTAATTGTGGAGGCAGTTGCATGTTTCTTTGCAGTTAAAGTTTCCGCTGCATGGTACGTTACAGTTGAATGTGCAGTTGCATTTAGCGTTGTATTTTTAGTTTCCGTTGCATAGGCAATTGCAGCTACATATTAAGTTGCAGTTGTATTTGCATTGGCAGATACAGTAGCATGTGCAGTGGCAGTGACAGTTTGAGTTGCATGTGCAGTTGCAGTTTCATGTGCTGTTGCAACTTTCTTTTTAGTTGCAAGTGTGTTTGCATTTGCAGATGCCGTTACATGTGACGTTGCAGTTGCATTTGCAATGTTAGTAAATAGTGTTTTTGAAGTGCCATATGCATGAGCTTCGGTAGTTTCAGTGGAATGTGCAATAGCAGATGCAGTTGCAGTTGCATTTACAGTTTCTGTGCAGTTGCAGTTGCATTTGCCGTAAAACTGCATGTACAAAAGCAGTTGCTAGTTTATTTGCAGTTTAATATGCAACTGCAATAACAGTTTTAGATGCAGTTGTAGTTACAGAAGCATGTGCAGTCTAGTTGCAGTTACAGTAGAATGTGCAGTTCAGTTGCAGTTGCATGTTTAGTTGCAATTTTCGTTGCTGCTGCATGTAAAGTTTTATTTGCATTTGTAGTTACCGTTGCAAATATAAGAAAAGAAGCATGTGCAGTATAAGTTTTAGTTGCATGTGCATTTTTAGTTACAGTAACAGTTGAAAATTTAAAAGAAATGTAATAAAAAACATAAGTGGCAGTTGCATGTGCAGTTGCAGTAGCGTTTGCATTTACTTGTGAAGAAGCAGTTAGAGTAGCATTTGCCATTTCATTTGCAATTGCAGTTGCAGTATCTGTTGCAGCCTTAAACGAAGTAACATTTGCAGTTGCAGTTTCTGTTGCTGATATAAGTCAAGTTTTATGTGCAGTTACAGTTGCAGTGCATGTGCCACTAAAGTTGCATTTGCAGTGCATGTGCCACTAAAGTTGCAGTTGCTGCTGCGTGTGCCGTGGCAATTGCATTCTTAGTTGCAGTTGCCTTTCTAGTTGCAGTTGTATTTGCATTTGCAGTTAAAGTAGCAGTTAAATTTGCATGTGCACAGCAGTAACATATGCATTTGTAAATGCAATAGCATGTGCAATTACAGTTGCAGTTGTTATTGCATTTTTATTTGAATATGTAGTTGCAGTTGCAATAAACGTTTCTGTTGCAGTAGCAGTTTCATGCTAATTTGCAGTTGCATAGAAATATGTAGTTGTATTTGCATTTGCATGTGCCGTTTTAGTTGCAGTTGCATGTGCAAATGCAATAAAATATGCATTTAAAGTGGCATTTGCAGTTCAAGTTGCATTTGCAGTTGCCGTTGCGTGTGCAGTGAAGTTGCTTGTGCAGTAAAAGTATCATTTAAAATTGCATTTGCTAGTGCATTTGCAGTTGCATTGAAATGTGTAACTTAAGTGGCAGTTGCATGTGCAGTTGCTGTTGTAGTTGCATGTGCATTGGCATTTGCAATAGTAGTGTCAGGTTATTTTGCAGTTGCATATGGATGTGAACTGCGGTAGCACTTGTAGTAGCATGTGCAGTTGTTGTTGCCTCTGCAGTTGAAGTTGCAGTTAGAGTTGTAGTAGCATGTGCAGTTGCAGTTGCAGTTGTTAATGCATTTTTATTTGCATTTGTAGATGAAGTTGCAATAAAAGTTCCTTTTGCAGTAAAAGTTGCATGTTTATTTGTTGTTGCATAGAAATATGTTGTTCTATTTGCATTTAAATGTGCAGGTATATTTGCAGTCGCATGTGCAGATGCCATTGTAGTTTCATCTGCAGTGTCAGTGGCAGTTGCAGGTATATGTGCAGTGCAGTTGTTTGTGCTGTTGTAGAAGCACATGCAAAAATATTTGCTATTGCATTGGCTGTTGCATTTTTATAAACAGCTGTAATAACACTGGCATCTGCAGATGCAGTTACCTCTTTATGTGCAGCTTCTGTTGCGTTTGTTTTGGCCTGTTCAGTTGCAGTTTTAGTTAAATTTGCAATTGCAGTTTCTGTCGCAGTTGCATGTGCATTCGCAGTTGCTATAGCATGTGAAATGCAGTTGGATTTGCCGTAGCAGTAGAATTTGCAGTTAAATGTGCAGGGAAGCTGAATAAAATGTTTTCTTGCAATTGCAGCTGTATTTGCAGTTGCAGTCGCAGATGTATGTCTAATTGCAAGTACAGTTGCCGTTGCAGTAGGAGCAGCGCGTACAGTGGCAAATGCACTTGCAGTTGCATTTGCAGTTAAAGTAGCAGTAGAATTTGCATGTAAAGAGTAGTTACATATGCATTAGTAATTTTAATTGTATGTGCAGTGGCAATGGCAGTTTTTTATGCATTTTTATTTACATATGTAGTTGCATTTGCAATGAAAGTTCATGGTAAAGTAGCAGTTGCATGTGCATTTGCAGTAGCAAAAATATATTTTGATATATCTGCATTTGCCTGTGCAGTTTAAATTGCATTTGCATGTGCATTTGCAGTTGCTTGAGCATGTAAAGTGCACTTGCATGTGCAGTGGCAGTTGCTGATAAATTTGCAGTCAAATATTCAGCTGCAGTAGCATTTTTCGATGCAGTTGCAGTTGCATTAGCATGTGCAGTGCAGTTGCAGTTACTTGTCCAGTGACATTTTTCGTTGCAGCAGCTTATGTGTTCGAGTAGCAGCTGCATTTGCATAAGTAGTTGCAATTTAAGTAGCATTTGCAGTTTAATTTTCAATTGCATTTGCAGTTTACGTTGCAGCTGCATGCTCAGTAACATTTGCATATAAGTTGCTGATAAAAAACATTTGGCATGTGCAGTTGCTATTGCAGTTGCATGATCATTTAAAGTAGCGGGTGCAGCTGCATGTGATGCAGCATTTGCATTTGCAGTTTGCGTTGCAGATAGACTTTAAGTAGCATGTGCTGGTAAGGTATCAGTTGCATGTGCAGTTCATTTTGCAGTTGCATAGGTAGTTGCAGTTGCTTGTTTATTTACAGTTTAATATGCAGTTGCATGTGTTATTTCAGACTTCGATGCAGATGCATGTTAAGTTGCATTTTAATTGGCAGTTGCTGTTGCAGATATAAGTCAAGTAACATATGCATTTGCAGATTTATTTTCTTGTGCAGTGTCATGTGCAGTGGCAATAGCATTTGCAGTTGAATGTGCAGTGAAGCTGCATAAGATGTTTTATTAGCAATTGCATGTCCATTTGTCGTGGCAGTCGCAGTTGTATGTCTAATGGCAAGTGCAGTTGCCGTAGAAGTACCAGCAGCATGTACAGTTATAAATGCAGTTTCAGTTGAATTTGCAGTTAAAGTTGCTTGCGTATTTGCAGTTTATTATGCTGCTGCAGTTGCCTTTAAAGCTGCTGTGGCATTTGCATTTGTATGTTCTGAGAAGCTGCATATGCAGTTTTTATTGCAATTGCGTGTGCATTTGCAGTTACAGTCGCATATGTTTGTATAGTTGCATATGCAGTGGCAGTTGTGCTAGGAGCTGCATGTATATTTGCATTTGCAGTTGCAGATTCCTGTGCAGTTGCAGTTTTAGTTTCAGAGGCAGTTGCAACTGCTAATAAAGTTGCAGTTATATTTGCATTTGCTGTTTTATGTGCAATTGCTTGGGTACTGGCAGCTGCATTTGCAGGTGCAATTAAAATTGCAGCTTAATGGTGCTCAAGTTTCAGTTGCTTTTGCATAGGCAATTGCAGATGCATGTTTAATTGCAATTTCAGTTGCATTTGCAGTTGCAGTAGAAGTGCTAGTTTTAGTTGTCTGGAAAGCTGCAAGTGCAGTTTTATGTGCTGTTACTAATGCAGTTATTGTTTCATATGCTTTAAATGGTTCACGTGCTGTTTAAGCTGCAGCTTCTGGTGCATAGCTTGTGGCTTTGGCATGTAAAGTTTTCGTTGCAGTTGAATTTGCAGTTTACTGGGCAGTTGCTTCTGCAGTTAACTGTGCAGCTCAAAGTACAGGTATAGTTGCAGGTACATTTTCTGTGGCAGTTGCAGTGCTTTTTGCATTTGCAGGTGTAGAAGCATTTTAATTTGCTGTTGCAGTTGCAATTGCAGTCACAGTTGTAGTTGCAGTTTTTTTTGCTGCTGCAATTGTCGCGGCAAAAATATTTGCTGTTGCAGTTGTAGTTGCATTTGCAGTTGCAGTTGCATTTGCAATTGTAGTTGCAGGTTATTTTGCAGTTGCATATAAATGTGCAGCTGCAGTAGCAGTTGCAGTTGCATGTACAGTTGCAGGTCTATCTGCATTTGTAGTTGCATTAAGAGTAGCAGTAGCATGAGCAGTAGCAGTTGCAACTTCTGCTTTTGTTGCCTTTTTAGTTAAAGGTTTATTTAAATTTGCAGATTAAGTTGCATATGCAGTTGCATGTGCACTTAAATTTTCTTGTTTATTTGCTGTCAAATATGCTGCTGCAGTTGCCTTTTCTGCTGCAGTGGCATTTGCAGTTGTATGGGCTGTGAAGCTGCATATAAGGTCTAATATGCAAATGCCTGTGCATTTGCAGTTTTATTCGCAGATGTGTGTCTAGTTTCAAGTGCAGTTGCAGTTACAGTGTTAGTTGCATGTGCAGTTCAGTTGCATCTGCAGTTAAAGGTGCATTTGCAATTGCAGTAAGTGGTGCATTTGGAGTAACATATGCATGTGCTGTTGTAGTTTAAGTAGACTGTGCAATAGCAGTTGCAGATGCAATTCCGGATTTTAGTGCATTGAAAGTTGAAAATGCATAGTAAGTTGTAGTTGCGGTAGCATGTGCCCTAGCAGTGGCAGTTGCAGTTGCATCTTCAGTTAAAGTGGCAGTAAGAGTAACCGTAGCATAAGCAGTTTAAAGAGCATTGGCAGTTCCCTGTTTAGTAGAATTTGCAGTTTTATAGGCTAGGGTTGCTGCAGTTAAATGTACAAATTTAGTTGCAGATGCAGATGCATGTTTAGTTGCTGCTAGATTAGCAGTTTTTGTTGCATATCTTATTAAAGTTGCAGTTGCAAAAGCAGTTGCAGTGGCAATTTCATGTGCAGTGTTAGTTGCAGATAGGGTTGCATGTGCAGTAGCAGGTGCATCTACAGTTGTAGTTACAGTAAGAGTAGCAGTAGCATGTGCTGTAGCAGTTGCTTTTGCAGCTTTATTTGCCGTTTTAGTTACAGTTGTATTTAAATTTGCAGATTTAGTGGCATGTGCAGTTGCATGTTGATTTGAAGTTGTTTGTGCATTTGCAGTGAAATATGATGCTGCAGTTGCCTTTTCTACTGCAGTAGCATTTGCAGTTTTATAAGCAGTAAAGCTGCATATGCATTCTTATATGCAATTGCCTTTACATTTACAGTGGCAGTCGCAGATTTGTGTCTAATTACTAGTGCAGTTTTAGTTGCAGTAGCTGCTGCATGTATAGTTGCAATATGAGTTGCAGTTGCATGAATAAATGCAGTTGCGACTGCAATCGCAGGTGCATTTGCAGTTGCATTTATTGTTTCATTTAAAGTAGCATATACATTTGCTGTTGTAGCTTTTTTAGCATGTGCAAAAGCAGTGGCAGTTGCTGTGGAATGTGCAGATGCAGTTGCATGTGCAGTTGCAGATAAATTTGCAGTTGCAATTGCAGGTAAATTTGCAGTTGCATTTGCATGTGCTGTAACAGTAGCAGTTGCGTTAGCATGGGCAATTGCAGTTGCAGTAGCAGCTGCATGTACAGTTTCATTTGCAGTTGCAGTAGCATGTTCACTTTCAGTTACGTCTGCAGTTGCCGGTGCATTTGCTATCGCAATAAGTTTTGCATTTAAAGTGGCTTATGCCTGTGCTAAAGTAATTGCAGTTGCATGTGCAGTTGCAGTTTTCTTTTGAGTTGCATTTGTATTTGAATTTGCAGAAGCAGTAGCATGTGCAATCTTAGTTGCATTTGCAATTGCAGTTAGTAGTGCATTTTAAATTGCATATACATGAGCTGTTGTTGTCGCAGTTGCAAGTGCATTTGGAGTGGCAGTTGCAGTAAAAGTTTTATTTGCAGTGGCTGCTTTAGTTGCAGTTGCTGGTTAAGTTGCATTTGCAGTTTTAGTTGCACTCGCTATTGCACGTACAGTTTCAGCTGCATACGCAGTATCACGTAAAGTTAAAGTAGAAGTTGCTGTGGCCCTTGCACTTGCAGCAGCAGTGGCAGTTTTTTTAGCAAATGCAGGGGCTAGTCCAGGTAAATTTGTTAATATAGTTTAAGTTACAATAGCATGTAAAGATGCTGTTGCTTGTATAGTGGCAGTTGCAGTTACATTTGCTGTAGCATGTGCGGTTGCTTGGTCAGTAACAGATTTATGTGCAATTGCTGGAGCATGTCCAGTTCAAGTAGCAATTGCATTTGATGTTTCATGCGCAGTTGCATCTAAAGATACAGTTGTAGTTGCATGTTCAGTAGTAGTTTGAGTTGCAGATAAGTTTGCAATTGCAGTTGCCGTTACATGTGCAGTTAAATTTGCTGTAACATTTTTAGTAGCAGTAGCAGTTGCATTTGCAGTTTTAATAGCAGCTGCAGTTTCAGTGGAATGTACAGATGCAAGAACAGTAGAACTGGCAGTTGCAGTTGATATTACAGTTTACTGTGCAGTTGCTGATTTATGTTCTGATTAAGTTGCAGTTGCAGTTGCAAGGTCAGTTGCTGATGCATGTGATTTTGCAGTTTACTCTGCATGTACTGTCTCATTTGCAGGTAAAGATGCATGTGCAGTTGCCGGTTCTCTGAATAGTGTCATATGCTAATTTAGTTGCTTTTGTAGTAGCAGTTGCGATAGCATGTACTGTTTAAATTTTAGTTGCTGTTGCTTTGCTAAATTTAGAAGCATGTTTACTAGCAATTGCAGTTGCAGTTGCATGTGCTGTTTTAGTAGCAGTTAAAGTGACAGTTGCAGATGCTGTTGCATTTGCGGTTAAAGTTTCAGTGGCATTTACTGTTGAAGTTACAATTGTAGTTGCCAGAGCAGCTGCACTTTCAGGTGATTTCTTATTTTCTGTGGCAGGTACATATTTAGTTTCAATAGCAGTTTTTGTTGCAGTAGAAAATAATTTGCATGTTTATTTGAAGAACAAAAGCAAGATAAAGTTGCAGTTTCATGTGCTGTTTCATTTGCAGTTAAATTAGCAGACGCAGAAGCAGTTGCAGTAGCAGGTAATGATGATGTTGCAGTAGCATTTAATGTTGCAGATGCAGTTGTTGTTTTAGTTGCTGTTACCAGTGCATTTGCAGTGGAGTTACAGTGGAAGTATCAGCTGCAGTTGCCGGTATAGTGGCATTTACCGATTCATGTGCAATTGCTGGTGCATGTGCATTGGCAGTTGCAATTGCATTAGCTGTTGTACGTTCAGGTTAAGCTGCATATGCAGTAGCCCGTAAAGTCGAAGTTGCAGTTGCTGTTGCAATTAAATTTGCAGTTGCAAGGGCTTGTCTAGTAGAGTTTGTTGTTGTAGATTAGGTTGATGTTGCATGTAGAGTTGCAGTTGCTTGTGCAATGACAGTTGCAGTTATATTTGCTGTAAAATGTACATTTGCTAGATTAGATACAGATAGATGTGCAATTGACGGAGCATGTACAGTTCCAGTAGCAGTTTTATCTGCGGTTTCATGCGTAACTGTATGTAAAGATACAGTTTTCGTTGCATGTGCATTATTAGTTGCAGTTGCAAACAAAGTAGCAGTGGCAGTTGCTGTTGCTTTTGCAGTTGAAAGGGCATGTGCAGTTTTAGTTGCAGTGGCATTTGCAGTTGAATTATTATGTGAAGTAGCATGCAAAGATGCAAAAGCAGTTACATTTGTTGTAGTAGTAGCAGACGCCGTAACATGGGCAGTTGCTTGGGCTAAAGCAGTTGCGTGTGCAGTTGCAAGGGCATGTGCAGTTAAAGTTGCAGTTAAATCTGCATTTGCATGTGAAGTTGTAGTGGCAGTGGGAAGTAAATGTGCAGTTGCAATTGCTGGCGCATTTGCAATACTATGTGCTGTTTTAGGGACAGCTACTTTTACATGTGCTGTTGAAGGTTTTGTTGCAGTTGCAGTAGCCTATGCAAGTTCGAGTTAAGGAAAGATGTGCATTTGCCGGTAAAGTTGCAATAGCATTTGCATTTTCTGATGCTGTTGCTGTTGCAGTTGCAGTCTTATGTGCAGTAGAAGTTGTAGAAAAAGATGCAGTTACATTTTCTTTAGTAGTTGCAGTTGTAGTTACAAGTGCAGTTGCAGTTTCTCTAACAGTTTTAGTTGCAGTAGCAGTTGCATTTGCAGTTTTTATTGCAGTTGCAGTTGTAGTTGCATGTACTGTTGCAAGTACAGTATCATTTGTAAGTGTAGTTGATATTGCAGTTTACTGTGCACTTGCCGCTGCATGTGCTTTTAGAGTACTAGCTGCTGTGGCATGGTCTGTGGCTGTTGCATGTTCTGATGCAGTTGCTGTTACAGTTGCAAGTGCTTTTAAATTTGCTACTGTATTTGCTTTGAAATATGCTGCTGCAGGTTTCTTCCTGATGCAGTTGCATTTGCAGTTGAATAGGCAGTATAGCTTCATATGTAGATTTAATTGCACTTGCATGTGCATTTGCAGTAGCAGTCTTAAATGTGTGTCTAGTTACTTTTGCTGTTGCAGTTGCAATAGCAGCTGCATGTAGAGTGGAATTTTCAGTTGCGAGGGAAACAACACTTTTTTTAAAGTATCATACGCATGTCATGACTTAATGCAATAGCATGTGCATTAGCAGTTGCAGTTGCAGTGAAATGTTCAAGTGCAGTTGCATGTACAGCTTCAGATTTATTTGCATTTAGGTTGGCGGGTAAAATTGCAGTTGTATCTGCATGTTCTGTAGCAGTAGCAGTGGCGGTAGATTGTGCAGTTGCAGTTGCATCTGCAGTTAAAGCTGCAGCGAGAGTTGCAGTTTTTATTGCATTTTCATTTGCCTATAAAGTTGCAGTTGCAATAAAAAATCCTGTTGCAGTAGCAGTTGAATAGGCATTTGTAGTTTCATAGAAATAAGTTGTTGTATTTAAATTTGCATTTGCAGTTTTTGTTGAAGTTGCATGTGCAGTTGCAGTTGCTGGGGTATTTTTAGTTCAATATGCAGTTGCAGTTGCATTAGCACTTTTAGTGCAGTTGCAGTTGCATGTGAATTTGTAGTTGCATAGAAATAAGTKGTTGTATTTAAATTTGCATTTGCAGTTTTTGTTGAAGTTGCATGTGCAGTTGCAGTTGCTGGGGTATTTTTAGTTCAATATGCAGTTGCAGTTGCATTAGCACTTTTAGTGCAGTTGCAGTTGCATGTGCAGTAAAGTTGCTTGTACAAATGCAGTTGTTAGTGTATTTGCAGGTGAATATGCGGCTCCAGTTGCAGATGCTGGTATTGTTGCATATGCAGTAACAGTTAAGGTAGCAGCTGCATGTTCGGTTGCATGCGCAGTTGCAGTTGCAGTTGTAGTTGCAGCAGAAAATGCTGTGGCAGTTTTAGGTAAGAAAGCAGTTTTACTTGCATTTGCTAATGCATAGTCTGTTGCTGTTGCATTGGCAGTTTGTAATGCATTTGCAGTGGCAGTTGCAGTAGCCGATGCATGTTTAATTGCAGGTTCTATTTCAGTTGCAGTAGCCGTTCTATTTAAAGTTTTAGGTGAATTTTATTTTAAAGGTAATTTAGCAGTAGCAGTTGCTTTTGGTAATGCAGTGGCATTTGCAAATGCATGTGCAGTAAATGGTTCATGTGCAGATTATTTTAAAGAAGCAAATATGGTCGCAATTGTAGTTGTAGTGTAATTTTGCTGTGATTGTGCAATGGCAAGTTCCCATGCATTTGCAGTGGCAATTGCAGTTGCTATTCCATTTGCAGTATTAAGTGCAATCGCAGAATAAATGGCAGTTGCATTTGCAGCTGCAGTTGCAGTTGCATGTACTGTTGCATTTAAAGTTGATTTTGAATAGTTAGTTGCTTGTGCATGTGCAATTGCCGTTGCAGTTGTCAGTTGCAGTTGCTTTTGCAGTAGGCGTTGCAGTGTAGGGTAATGTGCAGTTGCGGTTTCAAATGCAAATAAGGTTGCAGCTACAGTTACAGTATAACTTAGCTGTGCATTTGCAATTGCAGGTGCCTGAGCATTTACAGTTGCAGTTGCAGTTTGTGTTGCCTGAGCAGTCAGTTGCTGTTGTTTTTGCAGTACCAAATGCTGTTGCAATTTTAAGTTTAGAAGCAGTCTCACCTACATTTGCTAAAGCATTGTCTGTTGCTGTTGTATGAGTAGTTAATGTTGCAAGAGTAGTAGCAATTGAAGCTGCAATTGTAGCTGCTAATAAATGTTCCACTGCTAGTGCATTTTTATTTGCAGTTTTAGTTGCTGTTGTATTTGTGGTTGCATGTGCATGTGCAGTGGCAGTTGCAGTTGCATTTTTTGTTGAGTACTTTTATTTAAAAAACAAGAATTTTTATGAGCTCATTACTTTTATTAAAGTAGAAAGAAATTTGATTAGTTTAGTACTTTCATTCAAATAAAAAGAGATTTAATGAGTTGAATACTTTCATTTAAAAAAAAAAAGATTCGATGAGTTAAGTACTTTCATTTAAATTAAAAAGGATTTGATAAGTCAGGAACGTTCATTTAAATGAAAAAAGATTTGATAAGTTTAGTACTTTCATTTCAACAGAAAGAGGTTATTGGGTTTTGTACTTTTATTCAAATAGAAAAAGATTTTATGAGGTAAGTACTTTTATTTAAATAGAAAGATATTTAAGGCGTTTAGCACTTTTATTTAAATAGAAAAATATTTGATAAATTAATTACTTTTATTCAAAAGAAAAGAGATTTAATGATTTGAGTACTTTTATAAAAACAGAAAGAGATTTGATAAGTTCAGTACTTTTATTTAAATAGAAAGAGATTATTGAGTTGCGAACATTTATTTAAATAATAAGAGATTTGATAAGTGGAGTACTTTTATCTAAATGGAATGATATTTGATGAGTCAAGTACTTTCTTTCAAATCGAGAGAGATTTGATGAGTTGGTTACTTTTATTTAAATAAAAATAAATTTATTAGTTATGTACTATTATTGAAATTAAAAGAGGTTTGATGAGTAAGGTACTTTCATTAGAATGGAAAGAGATCTTATAAGTGTAGTACTTTTATTAAAATAAAAAGAGATTTGATTAGGTAATTACTTTTATCGGAATAAAAAAAGATTTGAATATTTGGGTACTTTAATTCAGATAGAAAGAAATTTGGTTAGCTGTGTACATTCAATTATTTAGAAAAAGATTTTATGAGTTTAGTACTTCTATTCTAATAAAAAGAAATTAAATGACTTAAGTACTTACATTTAATTAGAAAGAGATTTGATAAATTAAGTTTTTTTATTCAAATGAAAATAGAGTTGATGAGTCAGGTTCTTTCATTTAAATAGAATGAGATTTAAAAAGTATAGTACTTTCATTTTAATAGAAAGAGATTTGATGAGTTAAACACTTTCATTTAAACGGAATGAGGATTGATTAGTAGAGTATTTTCATTTAAATGGAAAAAGATTTAATTAGTTAAGTACTTACACTGAAATCGAGAGATTTAATGAGTTTAGTAAATTTATTTAAACAAAGAGAATTAATGAGTTATATACTTTCATTTAAATGGAAAAAGATTTGATAAGTTGAGTACTTTATTCCCCATGAAAAAAAATTTAATTAGCTGAGGACTTTTATTTAAATTAAAAGAGATCTGATAAGTTTAAAACTTTAATTTAAATAGAAAGAGACTTGATAAGTTAAGTACTTAAACTCAAATAGAAAGAGAATTGTAGAGTTTAATACTTTCGTTTAAATAGAAAGAGATTACTTGAGTGAAGTACTTTCATTTAAATGGAAAAAGATTGGTTAAGTTGAGCACTTCTATTTCAATGAAAAAAGATTTAAAATGTCTTATACTTTTATTGAAATTAATAAAGATTTGATGTGTGGAGATCTACTAATCAAATTGAAATAGATTTGTTGAGTTTAGTAATTTCATTCAAATACAGAGAGATTCGATAAGTTAAGTTTTTTCATTTAAATAAAAATAGTTTTAAAGAGTAAAGTATTTTCAATCAAATAGAAAGAGATTTATTAAGTTAAGTACTTTTATTTAAATTGAAAGAGATTTGATGAATTTATTACTTTTGTTTAAAAAGAAAAAAATTTAATGAGACGAGTACTTATATTCAAATGGAAAGAGATTTAACGAGCTTAGAACTTTTATTTAAATAGATAGAGATTTTATGTGTTTAGTAATTTCATCCAAATTTAAGATGATTTGATAAGTTAAGTACTTTCATTATAATGTAAAAAGATTTAATGAGCTGAGTACTTTCATTCAAATGGCAAGAGATTTAAAGAGTTGAGAATTTTAATTCAAATGAAAAGGGATCTTATAGGTTAAGAACTTTCATTTAAATAAAAAAAGATTTAGATAGTTTAGAACTCTTATTCATACAGAAAGTGATTTGATAAGTTAGGGACATTTATTTAAAGAGTAAAGTACTTTCATTAAAAAAGAAAGAGGTTTCCAGGGATGGGTACTATCATTCAAATAGAAAGAGATTTATTATGTTAGGTAATTTCATTCGAACGGAAAGAGATTTATTGGGTTAAGAACTATTATTTCAAAAGAAAAGTACTTTTATTCAAATAGAAAGAGATTTATTATGTTAGGTAATTTCATTCGAACGGAAAGAGATTTATTGGGTTAAGAACTATTATTTCAAAAGAAAGAGATTTAATGAGTTTAGTACTTTTATTCAAACAGATAGAGATTTAATTATTTAGGTACTTTTTTTCTAATGGAAAGAGAATTTGTTGCGTATCCTACGCAACGAGTGAGTAGGGCGAAGCACCTGGGCGTGTACGGCCCTGCCAAGGCGTGAGACACTCGCGACAAAGCAGTATCTTTGTTTTTGGTGGTAACTACGGTAGCGCCAAAATGTTTGTAAGGGCTCCTTTTTTCTTCTAGCTCGCGTGCTCCCACCACATTTATTACGCCAATCACATGTATCGACAGCCGCGTTATGCTCGGGCTTTTCGGTGATTTGTGCAGCATTGCATCGCTATTTTGTATAAAGCTTAGCGCGTTCTTGTGCCTAGCAGCACCCTTGATTAGTCATGGGTGATTCATCGCTCGAGATTCTTCTAGCTTAGAAAGCTGAGACTTGCGAGAACTACATCGAGGAGAATTATTTGTATTACGCAATACTACATCATTTAGGTTCGGCTAGCGACGAGGGACAAAGGCAGTCCTGCATGTGGCCAGAATTATCCTGATTTGTACGGATTCTTCGTCAACGTTTCAACCAGGGTTTTTATGTCAAAAGGCTTTTCTTTAACGAGCAAAACAAAGCGTACTTTTTAGTACTGACTGGACTCAAATACATTTGTTTTCTTTTCCTATCTTTCTTTCCATTAATAAACAATCTCGATATCACCCACACGGGCATTTTTCGATTCACTACTATTCACTGGAGTACCGATTAAGGCATCGGTCGCAGCAGCATTTGTTGGTCCTTCGAGACATATCGCGGAAGCTTCCTCCCCACTCTTCGTCCGGCGTCTATTGTGCATACAGTCTTCTTCAACGGAGGAGAAAGAGGCAATGGAAGACTTCTGATCGAGCAACAAAGGAGGTATTGCGTCATCACTACAAGCCGAGAAGCTTCTATAGTTCCGGTGCGTGAGTACGCTGCACGGGACACTTTATTCAGAGGATTCACGTGAGTTTTGTAATTTCTGTTGCTTGATCATTCTTCGAAGTCGTATTTTTCCTCTCTTTTCTCCTCTTAATTTCGCCTTCTGTCGTGAAAATGCCTCGTTCGATTAGTGCACGTTGTGATGTCGAGCGCGTTGTACGGAGATTAGAGTATGTAAAGAAAGAAGTCGCGCAATTTCAAAAGGCGGTGAGCAAAATAGATCGTACTAGCCCGGGCGATATAATGAAATTAAAGCTTAGAATTTCCAAAGTTGATAAGAATAATGTAGCAATATTAGAGGAGTTGATGAAAAGACTTCCGGTGAAGCGATGGAAACGCTGGTTGACGAAATTCACAATAATGTAGAGTCAGTCATCGATGCTAAGGCGGAGGCGGAGTTGATCATTAATAGAGCTGAATCGATAGCCACCTTAGGCACAAATTCGCCTACCGCGAATCTGTTGTCTCCAGCTAGCACTACGGTTAGTAGTCCGTCCGTAGATAGAATTTACAGAATACCGGCGGTAAAATTACCTCATTTTGACGGGCAGTGTGAGGAATTGCCGAGTTTCGCGGACACGTTTCAATCGGTGATAGGAGATAATACCGCGCTTCGAGATATACAAAAGTTTGCATATTTGAAATCATGCTAATCGGGACCGGCCGCGGAGAAAATAAGAGTTCTGGAAATTACCGCGGATAATTATCCGATTGCGTGGAAGACCTTAGTCGAGTGCTATGACAATCCGTTAATATTGATAAATAAGCACGTGCGAGCTATTTTGGAGGGTCCCCCGATTGACAGTGAATTTCCCTCGTCTTTAATTGCCGCGTCCGATGCGCTGAATGCAAATTATAGGGCATTAGTGGCGACTAAAAAAGTGTTTTTCAATCAATTTCCTATTGCCGTACATCTCTCGCGAGTGGATTCTGCAACACGTATTTAATGGAAACAACGGTATTCCCGAGATGCTTTACCGACGGTGGACGAGTCTGCGGTATTTTTACGCGATTGGGGAAGTGCGCTAGTAAGCGCCACGCCGGCAGAAAAGCCGAGGAGGATTGACAATAGCAGAAGAAACGCGCCGTTTGGACCTGAGAAAAATTTTCGTATAAGGAAAGCGATGCGTGACGAGCCGCGTTGTAGTTCTCCGCGAAATTGGCCGCAAAGTACCGACCAAAGATAAGTTCAAGTTTATTTCTTGAGTGCGACCATCTCGTGTGGCATATGCCGCGAGAAGCAATCATCCATCGGAGTGCGAGCTTTTACGGAGGGCCGGGCCTGAGGAGCGCAAGAGAATTGTGGTTAACGCAAATTTGTGCTTGAATTGTTTTCAAGCTGATTATAAGTTTGCACATGCATTAAGAAAGGCTGCTGCAGAAAAGTGCAAAGGCAGTCATTGTGAGTTGTTACATGTGAAAGAGGCCGTTGCAGAAGGTGCAACGATGGGCATCACGAGTTTGCGTATCCTGGCGGTATCGGAAGTGCATGATGCACATATAAAGCTCAATCACTTGCGTGCACTTGCGCTGCTGCGGCAGTTGTGCATTTGCTAGATCTTGATGGCAGATCACACAGGTGTCTTGTACTCTTTGATTCGGGTTTGAAGCGCCTTTTTTAATGATTTATTTTCGGGAATTTTGTACGAATATCTAAGCAAGTCATGGACGTGCCAATATTTACTTTGAAATTGGGAGCAGAAAATGGCGGTAGAATTGAAAGTTTTATTATCACCAGCTGTAACGAATCGGTTATCTTTGCAACGAATTTCGCGAGAAGARTTAGTTATGCCGGCAGGGATCCATTTAGCAGATCCCAAATTTCATGAGAACGCAAATATCGACGCGAGTCTCGGTGTCGAGATTTTTACATTACTATGACGCTCAKATCAGAGCATTAGATTGAATGAAAGTTAATGGCACCAGGAACTGTGTCAGGATGGCTCGTTATGAAAACAGGAGCCGCGCGTAGTCCGCGGAGCGTTAACTGCTACACAAATACAGTAGAATTGAATTAATTATTGGAGAAATTCTGGAAGATTGAAGAAGTAACTAAGACTAGTATTAGGTCGGACGAGGAAAATTTGTGCGAAGCGCATTATAAAAGTTGCACGCGACGGGATGATACAGGCAGATGTGTGGCAAGGCTTATATTTAAGGGAGAGAATCAGTTATGCGATTCGTACGTGAGCGCGTTGCGAGGATTTCACGCGTTGCGAAGATTACAAGCGTTAAAGCGGTTATTGTCGGGCGAGCCGGAAATTAGGAATGAATAAATTAAATTCTTATCCGAATATGGATAACTAGGTCACATGACAAGGATAGAAGAGGGACCCCACGAAAATACATTCTATTTACCGCATCATGCTGTATTAATGCCGACTAGTCTTACGACTAAATTGCGAGTAGTGTTCGACGCGTCGGCAAAAACCGGCAACGGGAAATCTTTGAATGAAGTATTAATGGTTTGTCCGACCATGCAAGAGGATCTGTTTAAACTTTTAGTAAGATTTAGATCACGCGCTATCGCTATTACCGCGGACATCGCGAAGATGTATCGGCAGATAATAATGGACCTGCGCGATCGCAAATACCAAACTGTACTTTGGTGTCGACAGGAAAGTGAGCCTGTGAAAGCATATAGATTAAATACAGTTACTTATGGAACAGCCTCCGCATCGTTCTTAGCAACGCGTACTTTACATCAACTCGCGAGCGACGAAGTTCACCGATGCCCGAGAGCTGTCATCGTTCTAAAAAGACTTGTTAGCCGGAGCGCGTACAGTTAGGGAGGCAAAGCGATTCCGCGACGAACTAATAAGGATAACTGCAGAGGCAGGCATGCATTTTCAGCAATGGGCGTTAAATTGCGCCGAGATTCTAAAAGACTTAAATACCACAGACTATAACATCGTAAATTTAGATTCGTCAGGCACGGTAGAAACATTAGGTGTTAATTGGAAACGCGGCCGAAGATAACATAGGCTATACGATAAAGCGAGCCGTTTCTATGGCAATTAAAATCAACGTGGGAGAAAAGGTCTCAGCCCGATATATATAAAATATGGCAAGAGTTTCGCCAAAATCTCTACACGCTCGAGGAGATAAGATTCGCGTGTAGCGTAACGTGTAACGGAAAAGCATTGGAAATACACGATTTTTACGGCGCGAGCGTTAAGAAATTTTTGGCGCATTAATACTCCCATGATTTGTTAAAGCGACTAAAAACGCTTTGCGTAGACTTATGGAACGCTATGCTAAATATTCGGACATATATTTCGACAGCACGACTAATTTTATTGATTCTGCGAACGAATTAGAGGCTCGCGTGATCGCGAAGCTTAGTTAATAAAAGATTCAAGTGGCATTTTATCTCTCCCCACTACCTCATTTTGGCGGTCTATTGGAGGTAGCAAGGAAATCTTTTAAGTATCATCTAGTTAGTCTAGGTAGAATTGTCAGCGAAGCAATGTTATCGTGTGAGGCATTATTAATTTACGTCCTCGAGATAGGGGCTATTCTAAACTGGCGTCTTATCACCTACCGGTCTAATGATTTGAACGATTTGCGTGCTCTTACACCTAGTCATTTTCAATTGGATATTATTTTCCGAGTCCKCCAGAGGACGAGTACAGGGATGTATCATTTTGGTATCTATCGCAATAGCAGCACGTTCAGCGGGTGAGACAGCAGTTCTGGAAATGATGGAATAAGGAATATTTGAAAGAGCAAACGCCACTAGGACGTGTCGCAAAGATACATACGAGAGCTGACGAAATAAAACGCATGGCAGCCGCGAAACCTGCCAACTGTCTTGATAAGTGCGGTATTAAACGTCTTTTTTCTTTGCCAAACGATTTAAAAAAAAAAAAAAAAAAAAATTTTTCTTGTAATTTAGTAGCGTTTATTATTGAATACGTATCGTAATATGCGGTTAGCAGTGTATGTATATGTGTTATAATTTGTATTTATATTATGCGTATCTTTTTAAATTTTGAACGGTGCCCGTTCAAGGGGGGGGGGGAAGTTGCGTATCTTACGCAACGAGTGAGTAGGGCGAAGCGCTGGGGTGTGTGCGGCCCTGCCAAGGCGTGAGACACGCACGACAAAGCAGTATCTTTGTTTTTGGTGGTAACCACGGTAGCGACAAGATGTTTGTAAGGGCTCCTTCTTTTTTCTAGCTCGCGTTTTCCCACCACATTTATTACGCCAATCACATGTATCGACAGCCGCGTTATGCTCGGGCTTTTCGGTGATTTGTGCAGCATTGCATCGCTATTTTGTATAAAGCTTAGCGCGTTCTTGTGCCTAGCAGCACCCTTGATTAGTCATGGGTGATTCATCGCTCGAGATTCTTCTAGCTTAGAAAGCTGAGACTTGCGAGAACTACATCGAGGAGAATTATTTGTATTACGCAATACTACATCATTTAGGTTCGGCTAGCGACGAGGGACAAAGGCAGTCCTGCATGTGGCCAGAATTATCCTGATTTGTACGGATTCTTCGTCAACGTTTCAACCAGGGTTTTTATGTCAAAAGGCTTTTYTTTAACGAGCAAAACAAAGCGTACTTTTTAGTACTGACTGGACTCAAGTATATTTGTTATTGTGTTTTATTTTCCTATCCTCCTTCCCATTAATATACAATCTCGATATAACCAGTGAGGGCACCTTTCAAATCACTACAATCCACTGGAGTACCGATTAAGGCATCGGTCGCATCTACATCCTTATAGCGCAATATCGCATGTAGCAACAGATCACGCGATCGACGTGTTTACGACCACGTATACTCTAAAGGGCGTGAACAAAGTGTTCTCTTCTATTTACTTATTTTAATCTCAAATTTCACATATATTACCAATAGCTATATTGAAGGTAAGAACACTTCAATTTGGCACTGCAATGGTTCGCATATTTAGGGAGGACGTTAAATTCCATTTAGTAGAA